AAGGTATTTACTGAGCTCTGCTATTGCATTTTTTTTTAATGCTGATTGCTTTATTTTTTCACTTTTGTTTTACTACTCTCCTAGTTACATATATACTTTTCTTTGTGCTCTTCGGTGCTGGTAGCCTCTCCATCTTTGTCTGGGATTCCATTAAGTATTTTCTGCAGTGCTGGTTTAATAACCACGTGTTTCTTTAGGAATTTTTGTCATGTAAAGTCTTTACATTTCCATCAATTTTGTAGGATAATTTTTCAGGATATAGAAGTCTGAATTGGCAATAGTTTATGTTTAGGGCTTGAAAAACTTCATTTCAAGCTCTTCTGCCCTTTAAAATTTATACTGAAAAATTGGCTATTATTCTGGTAGATGTGTTTATAGGTTACTTGCTGTTTTTTCCTCCAACAGATTTTAGTATTTACTCCTTTCACTGAACTTCTGTAATTTTGATTATGATGTGTTGTATAAAGATTCTTCTCTGGTCATGGCTATTTGGACTTCTGAATGCCTTTTATACTTGCATATTGAATTATTTCCCTAGATTTGGAAATTTTTTCTGCTATGATTTTAGTGCACACATTTTTTATGATTTGAGATTAGTGTTTTATTTCATTTAAGAAAAAGCATGCAAACACCATAAAATATAGCCTGAAGCTACCATGCACACACAAAGGTTCATATTATACCCAATAGAATATCACATAATTATAATTAGACAACAAAAAAAATTTGAAAATCATATTTTAAATACAGTTTTAAAATTAAGATGTAGCTGGTGAGTAGATGAGAGAAAATGAAAACGATGATTTTATTTAGAAGTCACATTCTAAACCCCACCTAAAGTGCCCAGTGCAGAGTCTTACTTTTGAAAGAAAGAAACTTTGTGGTCAGCTTGTGAATACATTTTTTTATATGTTTTAAGTTATCTTCTAAGTTTTCCTTTATTCTTATAATTCTGAGGGCTTTTTTTCCAGTTATATGGCTGCTATTGAATCCAGCTTGCATGATACCTTGTCATCTTTAGTGTATCCTTGAGTTTATGATCTGCTATATCCATGTTATCTTCAATTTAGGACCCTCTATTCTCACATTAGTCAAATCTGCTACCCATATTTTCTATTAAATTTTTTATATTTTGTATTTCTGCTTGCTTTCTTTTCATAATTTTTTACCAAATATGATCATTCATATTTCGACTTCTTCTTTTTTTTTTTTTGGTACTGGGGATCGAACTCAGGGCCTTGGGCTTGTGAGGCAGGCAGCAGAACCACTGAGCTAAATCCCTGGCTGGATCATTCATATTTTGTATTGTCTTGTTTAAGGCAATTAGTTTATAATCTGTTTTGCCTTTAAGCATTTTAAACATTTTATTAGTAAAATTCTTTATCTGTTTAACTAAATCCTCTTCAAATTAGCTAAACATCTTATGAATTTGTTTATGTGGTTTTTCTTTGATCTCTTCAAACATTTTGGCCATTTGGTTTTTGAGTTCTTTTCCTATAATTTTCTGTACTTTAGTGTCCAAGAGATCAGGTTTTGGGGAGTTAGAGGTGTTTACTTGCATCTTGTTGCTTTCTTTTCCCATATTTTTATTGTTTTTGTGTTACAGGTTGAAGATTAACTAGGGAAGAAATACTGCCACTACTGTGGGAATCCCTTTAGTTAGATTCTGTCTCCTTGTGATGTTTCCTTGGGTTTAGTTATGATGTTTTATACCTCTTCAATCTGCTCAGAGTAACATTTTTTTTGTGTGTGTGCTGGGGATCGAACTCAGGACCTTGCGCTTGTGAGGCAGGCGCCGGAACCACTGAGCTAAATCCCCGGGCCTGCTCAGAGTAACGTTTAAAGGTCTTCGTAATGTCCAACCTAATTCTGCTGGCTTGATCTCTAATACCACTTAGAGAGGAAACAATGAACCACAATAATATTGATGACATAAAGACAAACCCTCTTTGGCATACAGTAAAAAAGTAGTTAAAATCAAGAAGTGTAACAATAGAAAAGAATATTAAAAATAGAAAAGAAATCGGTAAGAATGAGTAAAAAACAAACTGGATATTGACATACTATAAGAACCAAAAAATCTATAACTATACTATCCCTAACAATAGAAAATATATGTCAGCAATAATATAAATAAATAAACAAACCAAATGTTGACACACAGTAAATATCTACTAAAAGCAATAACTGTAGCACTATTAACAACTGAATTTAGCAATAATAGCATAGAAACAACTAAATAGCTAAAAACAAATAAAGCTTATTAGTAATAATAATAAAAGTGGAGGGAGCAGAAAGGGAAGAAGTGGAAGAAGTACATTTGAAAAAGAAAGAAATGGAAGATAAGGAGAAAGAAAATTAAGATAAAAATCCAAATAAAGAATGAAATAAAATTAATAAAATTAATTAAGAATTAAATAAAAACAAGAAAACATAAAGAAAAATAGGAAAAAAATTGTAAAGGGCAAAATAAAGAAAAAAAGCAAACAAACAAGAACTCCAAGCAATAAACAAAGAAAAAGAGAAATGAGTCAAATATTTCCTCCATGTGTTTGGTAACAATATCTCTCAAGGGCCTACAGTATTAGAATCCACCAGATATAGGGGAGGGATAGAGAATCACCACTAGGACCTATTTTGTTTCCATGGTCACTTATTGCTGTGTGAATGCCCTACCTTTCCTGCTGGGCATGGTCAGTAAATGGTTCAGTATTTATGCTCTAAGGTTTATGGCCTTCTCTGTACTCCAAGTCACTGCTATTTCCAATTAGTTTTATAGGTTGTGGTCTTGTGAGGTTCCTGCTTGCTTCAGAGGCCCTTTTGTGCATATTCCCTGGAATATGGTAACCATGCTGCTGAGGTCTATCCCTGATCATGTTGGCAGATGGGGAAAGTGAACAGACATTTGAGCTTTGTACTGGAAGTAGACAGCAAGGAGAGACAAGTATTCTTCTGGACTTAATCCAGGTACTTTCAGATCCAGTCCTCTCAGAAAACCACACATGACCAGCCTAGCTTCTCACCACAGAGGGCAAGATCACTGTATCCTTCCCAGCCTGAACTTGTTGCTATTCAAACCTCTTAGGAGGTCTGTGACTCTCTCTCTCTCTCTCTCTCTCTCTCTCTCCAGCAGTTTCTTGTGGCCACCTCCCTCCTAGTCATTGCAGTAGAGTGACCCCAGAAACCCTAAAGTGTAGTTTTTCTGTGAGATATGATTCCCAAAGTAGCTCAGTACTTAGACAATAAACCTTTCACAAAATGGCTCCTGATTGTATCACAATCAAATATGGCAGAGCCTGCAGTGAATTTCTTCTCCAACTCTCCAAGTTGTGTTTCCAGCTTACAGTAATGGTGGGTTTTTCTTAGGGGTAGTGCTAGCAGTCTATTGTTTATCAATGGGACTCCTCATCCTTTCCAGGCTTACCTTGGTTCCTGGAAACAGGTCTTCCTGTCTAGGGCCTCAGGTTGCCACATCCCGGGGAGTATGGACAGAGGGGCCTCTGGAGCAAGTAGGGCACAAAATCACAGGCAATAAACCTAACTGGAGATAGTAGTGACTTTGGGCACACCGCAGGACACAAACACAGGAATTCATTGTTTTCTCTGCATTCTTTTCAGTTTTTTTCAGTTTCTCTGTGATTTCTAGTTTCCCTGTCCATGCTTTCTTGATTCCCAGAGCTCTTCTTTTTCTCCTTGCTAAGTAGTCTTCCAGGTATCTCAATTTGAGGTACTGGAGAGGCTGTGATTTGCTGCAGCCTTTACAACATTATTTTTTCCCTCAGGGATTCAGTTTTATTTCTTTATATAAAAAAGATTTTGGTGAATGCTGTATGATGAACAATTATATATATACGTATATACGTAAAAATGCCAACCCCTATAGCTTACCCCAAATTTACTCCATGATTTTTGTTTCATCGATTATTTCATGCTATGAAAAACAAAGAAAAATAACTGTGTTGAATACATTCTATATGGTAGTGGAAAGAGACATAGATGAAACAGATGCACAGTCCCAGTTGGTCAACACTTAGCCTGTTTGTTTCTGTTAGTTATAGCTAGCTTCCTCTCTAGGTGTGCTGAAATACCTTAATTTAACCTAAATGACTATATTTGGATAGCCATAACCCATGTCTTTTTTCCTTTTCTACTGGTGCTCATCCTTTCTGAAAGTACACATTGTGGTACTAAGCTAAGATTACAGAATCTTTTGTTCACAAAGTTTTTCTAAACATCAATCCCCTAAATTCTTTAGTGAAAGAACACAGAATGGAAGCATTGGCTTAAATTAGTAACCTTTAGATTCTCACTTATTGACTGAATTTCTTTAGTTGCATCCTAATTTGGGGATTTATTTTTAGTTTTATGAACACATTAGTTGAATAATAGTTATTTTCTAGTAATAATGGTTCAATGATACCTGGTTTAAGTTATTTTTAATACTGAGTGAACAGCCCACTACTCTAGTCTGTTGCAATGACTACTACATTTTCCAATGACTATGACTTGTTGAAATATGACATACATAAAGCCAAACTATTATTTTGATTCATTTTAAGCTTTTAAATTTATATTTTGCAAGAAGTGTTATTTTAATGACAGTTAAATGTAGTTATATTGACAGATGGATTTATTCTAATTGTATTATGAATCAGGCAGAAAGATTTTTAAATGGCTTATGAAACAGTTCTATAATGTACCTGGGAATAATTTGATCTTGAATAAAAAATGTTTTCCCATTTCACTTTTCATTGATCTCATTTTGCATCGTATTATTTTTCTTTAGAAAAGTAGCTGAATGAGATACAAAATAATTGTTTCTATTCTATAGCATGCAGTTTATATTGACTATACATCAGATTAAAATTTGCATAGATGAATGCACAAAGTCAGCATAGTTAAGAAAACATTTCTGAGTCTTTCTATTCATTGAATAATGCTATTTTTTGTTAACTTGCTACATGAAGACTACTGATCAAAATTCCATGTTAATTTTACAGGTTATGGAAATCAAAGGACAAATGATCCATGTCCCAGAATCAAATTCCATCTTGTTTTTGGGCTCCCCATGTGTGGACAAGTTGGATGAACTCATGGGTCGAGGGCTGCATCTCTCAGACATCCCTATCCATGATGCCACCCGAGATGTCATTCTGGTTGGTGAGCAGGCAAAGGCCCAAGATGGCTTGAAGAAGAGGATGGATAAATTAAAGGCTACTCTAGAAAGAACTCATCAGGCCCTGGAAGAAGAGAAAAAGAAGACAGTGGATCTTCTGTATTCTATTTTCCCTGGTGATGTAGCCCAGCAATTGTGGCAAGGACAGCAAGTACAAGCCAGAAAGTTTGATGATGTCACCATGCTCTTTTCAGACATTGTTGGCTTCACAGCTATTTGTGCCCAGTGTACTCCCATGCAAGTAATCAGCATGCTGAATGAACTGTACACCAGATTTGACCACCAGTGTGGATTTCTGGATATTTATAAGGTAATGGGGGTTAAACAGTAAATTACCACCTTAATTAAAATGCAAAGATATATTTTTTATTTAAATTTGATAGAAAACTATATCTCTTAATTTTAGAAACTTTTACACAGAATATAGGTATTTCTGCTTTGTGAATAAACTTTCATTATGAGGCAACTTATAATACTGACCTAATCCATGAGTCATGATATTGCTCAATAAGGGAAAATTTCTGCATAGTTAGTCCACTAAATTCATTATTATTAAAAATTAAACTTGCTGAATTCTAGATAATTTTAAGCAATGTAATTATTCTTCCTTAGGAAATCATATTCCAATATAAACTGAATGTTTTACGTTGACAGTTAAAAGGAAATAGAATGTTAAAATATACATTGAAGTATATTTTCAGTTAAACCATGATTAATCAGTATTTTATACAACATTCTCAATTAACTGAGACTTCTTTAATTCTAAAATAACATATGCAAAGATTTTAGCTATTTCCCAAATGACCAAAGGCTTTCAGTGTAAGCACCTTATTTCCAGATTATTTAATGGAAAAACTTTCTAAATATGTACCAGTCACCATTTATTTGATTTGGCAGAGTCTTCATTAATTTCTTGTTAAAATCATTGCAATACCTTGAATAATTTACCCCATACCTTCTTGGTACATTGTAGGTATACAACACAATTACATTTCTCATTGGGAATTG